TATTTTCTGCACGCTCAAAAGCCTCATCGACATCACCAGCCCATGTTGGCGAGAGATGGGTTGAACGATTTGTTAAACGTCATCATGATATTCGATCAAAATATAATAAAAAATATGATTACCAACGTGCAAAATGTGAGGATCCAGAGGTTATTCAGGGGTGGTATCGATTGGTTCAAAATACTATACAAAAATATGGTATTCTTGACCATGATATCTACAATATGGATGAGACAGGATTCCAAATGGGTATTATATCGACTGCCAAAGTTATCTGTGGCTCAGAAACTCGAAATCCTAATGCCAAATCAGTCCAGCCTGGAAATCGTGAATGGATTACTGCCATTATTGCAGTAAATGCATCAGGATGGGTTCTTCCACCACAAATTATTTTGACTGGGAAAAAGCATCAAGAAGAGTGGTATCGAGCTATACCAAAGAACAAAGGCTATCGATTAAGTCTTAGTGACAATGGTTGGACCAACAACGACCTAGGTCTTGAATGGCTTACTGATGTATTTGAACCAAATACTACCTCACGAACAATCGGTCAATATCGCCTTTTAATTCTTGATGGTCACAGCAGTCATGCTACTCCTGGTTTTGATCAATTCTGTACAGACAGAAGGATTATTCCTCTATATATGCCTCCACATTCCTCTCATCTACTTCAACCTCTCGATGTCACTTGTTTTCGACCTTTAAAACACTTCTATGGGCAGAAGACCTCGAGGTTGATGGAAACGGGCGTACATCATATCGATAAAACTGAATTTCTTTCAATTTACTCATTGATTCATGAACGTGCATTTTCATCAGCCAATATTTTAAGTGGATTCAGAGCAACTGGCCTTCTTCCTTATGAACCCATGAAGGTTTTATCAAAGCTTCAGATTAAGATGAAGACACCAACACCACCTACTTCATCAAACAGCAATCGATCGTTTCACTTAGGGAAGACCCCCTCTGATCTTTATCAATTGAATCGACAAAAGCAACAGCTTCAAGAGCTTCAGAATCAAGCTTTTTATTCATTGATTGCAGAGCAGGCACTTGAAAAAGTGATAAAAGGAGCTGAGGCAGCAATGCAAAGATCGATTTTCTTAGAACAAGAGAATCATCGACTACGTACAGAAAATCAACGTCAGAAAAAGAAGAAAGAGGTGCCTCGACGCTTTATTCAAGATGGAGGCAGCTTGACGGTTGAAGAAGCACTGAAAAAGATTGAGGAGAGAGAAGAACAAGAACAGGCTTCATTATCAAGACCACGGAGGCCAATACGATGCAGTAATTGCGGTAATGAAGGCCATAATAGATTGAAATGTCCTTCTCCTTCTATCACTAGTTAGTAGTTTTCATTTTGCAATGTATTTCATTTGTACGTTTGGTAAAAAGCTTCATAATCAGTAAATATTCAGGGTTCCGCGGTTGACTGTGCCGTTTGGTGTCGTGTGCCGTTCGGTGTCGGATTACGTTACTAGTACTACTAGTTAGTATGTAATCTAATATAGTAGGTTGCCAGGTTTTTAGCCTGGTGAGCTTAGCATAAATCTTAGTAATCAACCTGGCAAGCATAATCCTAGTAATTACTGGTAACATAATCCACGGCCGAGTGACGAATACGACTGAGTGATGAATTTTCATCACACCCATGCTGTTTCTGAAGCTTTTCAACAGCAAAATATAATTAAATTAGATTATATAGTAATTAATTAAAAAGCTATTTATTAGGACAAGTTCTTATTGTATGTCCAATAGACCAACAGCCACTATAGCGCGGTGGAGCTCGCTAGCGAGGGGCAGGTGCAGACTCATTAACCTGCTCATTCCGTGGTATATCAAGCTGCTGAACGCGATTTTGACCTTCCTGTACAGATGAAAGGATATCATCACCTAGATTAGCATGCCTCCTTGCCTTCTTTCTAATCTTCCGCTCATTTTTAGCCCATAGAACCTTAATTTCTTGTTGCAGAAGAAGGTTCATATTCATCACCATTTGAGCTGCCTTTTCCAGATGTTGAATATGTGATACTGGGCTGCTAGAAAGCTTCCTTTTCTAAAGACTTCTCTGCAGGCTGCAGACCTTGTGATCTAGCTGCCAAGGATTCTGAGGTGTTTGGAAAGTAGAAGAGATTAAGCCTTTAACAAGAAGTGGTGGTGTTGGTGTATGAAGTTGAAAAGTGATCTTTTTAAGCACTTAGTCCTGATCAAATGATTTAAGACCAGCACCTGCAAAGCCACTGCATATATTCTTTTAATTAAAGACTTTTTCATGCGCAGGCGGATATAGGTGCAGAAAGTCTTCTTTATTAATATGGTTGTTTCCCATAACCATCATTCCTTCAACTAACTTCCCATATGCGCGTTTTAGCAGGCCAAAAACACCAACATCCAGTGGCTGTAGAAGGTGGGAAGTATAAGGTGGCATGCAAAGGCAAATAATTATATTTTCCTTGCAGAAAGCATTAAATTCTACAGTCTAGTGGCTAGAATAGCCATCAAGAATAAGTAATCTCTTTGCACCAGTTAAACTCTGCCGTGAGTATGGCTTAAACACCTCCTTAAGCCAGCGAAGGCCTATTATATCAGTTATCCAGCCATTGTCACTCTTTGCAATTAACTAGGTTTAAGGAACTACTAATTCTTGATACTAGGTAGCCTGTTGCTCTTTCCTCTTTAAGATAACCACTAGTGGTATAGAAACCCCCTTTGAGCTTACACATTCAATAATTATAACCCATTCACAATTCCCTTGAATAACTATACAGGGTCTCTCACTGCGATCCACTGCAGTAATAACCTTAGATGTTATACAGAGTCCCATTACAAAGCTAGTTTCATCAAAGTTCCAGATATCATCTTCATGGATGCTATGTTCCTGAATAGCTCCATGTACAGTTTCAAACCACTATTTTATAACCTTTGGATCCTCCTGCTTTGCACGCTAGTATGTAATTCTCTAATTATATCTTGCACGTAATTCAGGACAGTGTTTAACAAAGGAATAGGCCCAGTTGACTCCAAGCACTGCGGTAGAATCTTAGGAGCATTCACAAAGTAAAATCTGCGCCATTCCACGCAGAAACTCTGGCTAAATTAAAAAGCCTCACTTATCTGCATCTAGCACTCTCTTCACAAGGACCTCCTCTTCAATAGCTGTTAATTTATGGCCATTAGCGCATGTTTCTATGCGTGGTTTTGTTCCTTTAAGGCGACGGCAAAGGGTAGCCTCAGATACGCCAAATACTTCAGCAGCTTTCAATTTTGATTTAATTTTTTGCATTTTATAGGCAGAGATAGCCATTTGCATGCAATTTTCTTGGGATAAGAGCATTTTGTATGAGCATAATGAAAATCTGACGCGTTGTTGAATGTTGGTTTGAGTATTTTGATGGTTGCGACGAAAATTCGTCACTCAGTCGTATTCGTCACTCGGCCGTGGATTACGTTAACCTACTGGTAATTACTAATCCTGTACCTGGCGACCTGGTGACCTGGTGACCTGGCGACCTGTATAATCAAAAGAAGCAGGGGCAGCACCAGCTTCGACTGACCTGTTGATACTTGAGCGATACCGGTCACGGCCCTGTTGTTCATTCGCAAACGGCTCAAGCAGCCTGCAAAGCGGAAGCAGGAGTGAGTAAAAACCGCTTCGGTACCTGTTTCCTAGAGTTGCTTGTGGCTTTGTGTGATGGAAGGTTGCAGTTCCTCAAGGGAGACGCAAACATCTGCATATATTTACACACTATATATCCACACTCTGTTGACAGTCGCTAAGATCCATTAAAGAGTCTATCACCGGGAGGCTGGTTTATTAGTTGAATCTGGTATTATATAATATTGTGTGTAATATCGGTCTCATGCTGTCACCCCTGTTATGGATCCAGTCATGCTACTCGATTCTCCCCTCTATAGGACCCCGGGCAACTCGTCATGGTCAACTCATAGCAAAATGAGTTCTGTTTGCGATGGTTGAATATATGAAGATGTTGGTGCACTTTTCTCATGGCGTCCACTAGGTAGACAACTGTTCTGATATTGAGTGAAAGGCTAGCTAGCTCTGCTTGGGTGGTGTGTACGGTTCCACCCACAATGTTTGATGGCTTGTCCGGAGGTGCTGACGTCAATGACAATCATTTATTGTTCGCATCCCGCAGAATTGGTTTATATCGGTGATGCTGCTTTGGGGCCCTGCGGATTCGGGGACCGCAGTGTCCCGTCAAAGAGACCGAGTCCTCAACTGCTTTGGCTTCGATTTTAAGTGGACTGTCCAGCTTTCTGTTAACCAGAATATGCCTATCATTCTCACTATGCTAGAAATGGTCGTCTAGACACCTTTTTGGCGGAGTGGATTGATGGCTGACCTTTCTTGGCATCCTCCGCATTGTACGGGGAACATCCGGATAGCCGACATAGGAGAGGGTTTTGTTCGGTACGTTCCCCGAGAATGCTGCATGTCACTATGCTCGAAGGATACAGAGTATAAGGCGCGTTCGGCATTTCCCCGAAATTACGAGGTTGTCTCCCCGCAAGTTTCCCCAGATTGACTGTTCGGATTGAATACACAGACGTTCCGGCGATGAATGGTGATTGATAAATCCCCAAGATGTAGGACGTTTGGGGGGTTCGAGTCATCTCAATTGTCGACAATAGTCATCCTCCAAATATGTCTCCCAACGTCAAATGGACTGATGTGGCAAGTGAGTGCTGCATGAGCGAGTGGCCACAGCGGCGGCAATATTGACTATTGACTCTTCGCTCCAGATAACACCCACCCCATCTGGTACAAAGATGCGGGCTTGCGTCGTAACGTAGCCTTGGGGCTTGGTCTTTGCCTTGTAATTGCTACAAATGTGAGTCATCTCGTCTGCTGTTTGAAAGTTGACGCTGATAATCGTTGCAGGGATGTTAGTAATGGCAGGATTACTTAGGTGATTGCCAAGTACTGAACTGATCGATCTGTATTAGACCAAGCGAGCCTTCTCACTGGATTCCAGGCAATGCCTTCATGGCAAAAGTATGTTCACCCTTGCTGATTCGTTGTGGCCTCGAGTTTGACTTTGCCAGATACTTCAAGAGCCCTACTGGCGCTCTGCTGGGTATCTATGCTGCCTCTTATTTTTTACCCTCGATCTTTACTGCATTCATTGGCGACGTCATTTCCACCAAAATGGGCCGTCGATGGTGTATCATTATTGCAAATATCATCATTACCATCGGCTGCCTTGTCAATACATTTGCCAGCTCTATCGGCATGTGGTGCGGCGGTATTTTGTTCTCTTCCCCTCGTTGCATCGGTCTCCCGGTTGACCAGTGTCTTCAGGTCGTGCTATTATTGGAGCTGGCGTTGGTATAGTGAAGGTTGCGGCTCCTGTATTGATCCAAGAGATTTCCCATCCTCGGCTTCGACCTATTCTTGGCTCCTGCTACCAAACGTTCGCATACATCGGAAGCTTCTTCGCCGCTATCATAACTTGTGACTCACCCAAACCTACCTGAACCACGTTCTCAGCTAACCCATGATGCTAGTTGTTGGCCTGTATGTCCCCGGTGACTGGGGTTGGCGATTCCCTTCTCTTCTCCAGGTAATCGGTCCAGTTGCGGTTATCATTGTGACTATACTTTGCCCTGAATCCCCACGGGTGAGCTTACCCTCTAAGACAAAGTTGAAATCCCCATCTACTTACATGGTTGTCCAGTGGCTCATAAAGAACGGTCGCGAGGAGGAGGCCGTCGGTGTTCTTGCCAGTCTGCATGCCAACGGTGACAAGGAGGACGCCCTGGTCCAACTCGAGATGAAGGAAATTCGGACCGCTATCGAACGTGAGGTCGTCCAGCGGAAAGCGAGTTTCTTAGACTTCCTGCGGACACGTGGAAACAGGAGACGTCTGGCCGTGATTGTAGCTTTGGCATGCTCTCTGAACTGGATGGGTAATGGTATCATCAGCTAGTAAGCTGGATACTTCACCGCGTGCACGGACAGTTTAGCTAATGCTGCGATAGTTTCTTATCGCCAATTCTCAAATCGGTTGGCATCACCTCTGCAGTCCAAATCACATTGATCAACTCTGGGCTTGGTAAGGCTCGACGGTCTCTTTTTTTCCCCTGCAACCTCAATCATCAAAAGACAGACTGGGTACAAATAGCTGACTACCCTACAGCCCTTTGGAATCTAATCCTTGCTGGCAGCGCTGCAGTGTACTGTGACAAGGCTGGACGTCGACCTCTGTTCCTGACATCAGTTGCGGGGATGTTATGCTCCTATGTTGTTGTTATGGGTTTATCTGCCGGCTTCGCCAACACCAAACAGTCCTCACTGGGTATTGCTGTGATCCCTTTTCTATTTATGTGAGCTGTCCTTAACTCCAAGAGTGAAGAACCCGCTGACCGTTCCAACACAGCTATTTCGGGTTTTATGACATGGCATTTACTCCTCTTCCAATCGCATACACTGTTGAGATTCTGCCCTTTACCATCCGGTCCAAAGGAATGGCGCTCTTCACGAGTACCGCTACGTTGGGCAACGCGTTCAACCAATTCGTCAATCCGATTGCGCTCAAAGCCATCTCATGGCGATAGTGAGTGGCTTAGTTCCATCCGAGTTGATTGCTGCCCATACACTGACTCTTGTATGCTTAGTTACGCGGTGTATATTGCCATTTTGGTGTTCTACTTTTGTTTCATCTTCTTCATGTTCCCCGAGACTAAACGTCTCTCAGCTGAAGATGCAGCAAGGGTTTTCGACTACAACAGGAAGGGCGCTGCCCTGGACAAGACAAGTGATGATGTTGAGCATGGCGCTGTCAGTCCCGACAACGAGAAGCAAGAATCTGAGTCCGTCATTGAAGTCAAGGACAGGATTTGAGAGAGTGATGCATCACAAGGATGTGGTCATGGTGAGATAAGGGTACCATATCATACTCGTCCATTATCAAGGAAACCACGCGTACTGTGGCTTCCTTGAATTTACATTCACAATGTACTATTCTTCCAAACGCACTGCAAAGTATCTTTTTAGATGTTACTGATGATGTTGTCTGATGTATGGTACTTTCATTATTCACACATATCATAGTCTCAAGAGAACAACAAACAGACAACAGGAAGCATGAATATACAAGGATCTTATAGTTAGTAGCTACTACTCCAGCATGTTGGTAGTTATGTCTTGGAATTACATAATCAACCAGTATCCCCCGCAAATTCAGCTGATTTCAGCGGGGTTCCATTACTAACAGTAGGCTCAGTAGCCAATGAACACCAGTGCCATTCGTCTGTAAAGTTTATCCTTCGTTTGACTAGGTTATTAGGTTGATGAAAGCCCTCCCATAAGTTGACTCTGCAAAGATCTCCCAACTCAACCGCACAGCATCATGACGCCAAGTCCACGTGCAGTCTCTGCAGGTTCACCCTCGCGGGGCCACAACAGTCTTGATCGTGTAGATCGTCGCAACTCGACGGCAGCTGTCCACAAGAGGCAGTATCAGAAACAGCGAACGCAGCGCGCCACATACGCCTGTGAGCGATGTCGTCTCAAAAAGCTTCGATGTACGGGTGGCCACCCTTGCGGCGCCTGTCGCCGAGCTGAGATCGAGTGCGACTTTGGCGATCGGGGATTGGATTGGCAGCAGAGTATCTCCCTTACAAACCAGCGACTCTTGCAACTCGAGAAGACTGTCATGGAGTTGGTGTCCAGTCTGAGCCATCTGACCCATCCACAGCAAGCAGCACTCCCGCAATCACCTTTTCCACATGCAGGGCAAATCATCTCAGTCACATCAGCTAATTCGGCAGATTCCTTTCACCATGCCTCTGCATCCGGGCGGGCACTTAATGTGCATGAAGTCAACAACAGCCCTTCTCCCCAGATTACACGAACTGTGGGGCCTCCAGATTCGTTCCCTGCGCGGACCAACTTCGCGGAACCCACTCAAAGCCAAGGGATAAGTGCGACACCAGAACGTATATGCACCTCGCCGGTCCACCCCGGAGACTCAGAGGGACTCGATTCACGCTGGGCCGCCCTGCAGAACAACTCAGCTCCGTTCCCCCCGTTGATGGCCCACCCAACTGTGTGGTCAGGGGAGCCAGCAAAGACCATTCCAGCTGGAGATTCGAATGCTCAGTTCGCTCTCGGCATGACACACTATGAAGCCAAGGTCGACTTACAGAGTGAACCAGTTTCGGGGGGAATTGTCGATAAGCGGGTGGCAAGAGCGCTCTTCTCCTTGTAAGTCCTGGGTTGCTCAATTCAATTCATCAGGTCGCAGCGGACTCACCGAGAGATAACCCAGGTTCTTCCAGAAATGTCACCCGTTATTTCCGCTACTTGAGCCATGCAAGGACCTTGACAGACATTTCGATCATATCCGATCATCAGCGCCATTCCTCTTCACCGCAATCCTGGCAATTGCGGGTCGTTACTATACCGCTTATGGGGACAAGCAATCCAGCAGGTCAAGTCTGCTACCCATTGCCGGTAGCGCCCTCGCAGCCCTCGCAGACCTCGCCTGTGCGCACCTCGGATTTGTCCTCTTGCGTAAACAACACCAGTTGTCTGACGTGCAGGCTACATTACTACTTGCTGTGTGGATTCCGCGAGGCGGAGGCCAATTCGCGGACCAGTGGATGTTGACAGGGCTGTGTACTCGCCTGGCGTACCGTATCGGTGTACCCGATTCGTTTGGCTGCCCGGCAATTATCCGTCTCTTGAGTTCATCTGACCTCGACCCTAACGATATCGGCGAGGCGAACAGTGTCTTGCCCCAGTGGCACACCTGGTTGATCATTAACCAGTAATCCGATCTCTCTACTGATGTTTGACCCCTGATTAACCCCTGTTCCTAGGTATGACATATGGCTCAGCCTTGGATTTGGTCGTCCCCACCCAATGCCAGTTGTCCAACCCTCTCCCCGACAGTATCTCGCCGTTGTACGCAAGCTGGGGCCCTCAGCCCAGGTCGATTCGGAAGCTGCGACATACGTCACTAGCCTGGCAGAACTTTCCGCCGTAAGCTATCCATTCTTGACTCCTGTTACATCCACTTAACAAAGAGCTAAACCGTGTTGCTAAGGTCGCAGCGGATCTGGTTTCTGGTCTGCGCACAGCTCGCTTACCCCCGACGCCGCGCCAAAATATACGCCAGCCCGCTGCCACAGCATGGTCTAAAATCTCATCTCTTCTATCCGACCTAAACCCGCGGTTGGACGAATGGCAACGTCAATGGACCTGGGCCGGTGAGCCTTGCGAGTATTTCCATGCGCTGCATTGATGCTTACATGCTATCTAGGTTCCTATGATGCCGTCATGCTTGGCAGGTACAGCGACCTGGTCAAGATCTACGGTGAACATACGCGCTTATGCTTGAACTCTCTTTCGCTTAACCTCATTACCGCTAATGCTACTGCGAACTCGGAGAACCATGTAACGATCTCCTGTTTGGAAAACGCTTGTGAGGCAGCTGTAGCCCTGGTGCAGTACTACGTCAAGTCTTCCGATTCAGAGCCAATCGTTCGATATGGTGGAGATGTGAGTTTCTGCTAGCTGCTGTTTGTGTGTCATCGCTAATGGAGTGTTCTCATCCATCTATAGTATCTGGTTCTGATACTTGGCCAAGCTGCAATGTTCCTCGTCCGAGTACTTGTCGCTCGACTCGAGCAGCCCTTGCCAGTAGACCGACGTGTCTTGGCGCATCATCTCAAGACCGCCATCGAGCTCTTGGAGTCTAATGACATGTCCACAACCGGTATTTGTGGCTGGGTGGCCCAGCTGAGTCGCGAGCTGGCTCGCTACGCGGGACTTGCGTTTGACTCTGGTGAAGGTGATCCGACAGATGCCAAGTACGTCCCCACTTCTCACGGCTTGATGAGTTTCTGGCAGTTGCCTTCTGACGCGGCATTTGAACAGCTTGACTGGGCTAGATCCTAGCCTTCCAGAAATCCAATGGGACTTTGATATCTGCGCCTTACTGGGCCAGAACATCCCGGCCGGAGAGACAGGTCTCGACCTCGGCCATTGCTTCGATTTTGCCCAATCTTTCTTTCCTCCACCCACGGATCCGGGGGGTCTATAAAGCAAACTCTGTACCGTATCCTCTGAAGGGTGAAAGGAAGGTGCCGTCTTGTACATTGTTGATGGAGTGGATGTCAGAACAGATATTTTAATACTAATGTTCCATTCGATTCAGATTGTATTTGTTTACCCATGACTATAGTTTGCAATTGCATCGACTTTGCATTCCTAGACGTTCTCTCTATGAGAGCAGCTCCCCTTCAATTTAGAAGCCTCGTCTTCCCCGCGGTGCGCATACCCATCGGCAGCGCGCTTCTCCACTTCGCGCAGTGCGAGCTCATTTAGCTTCTCTATCTCGTCATCACGCTTATCAAATATCATGGAGACTTCTTCTATGGTATGATGCTTGGTCTCAGGATACATGAAATACGCGAAGACCAGGTAGAACAACAGAATGGCGATATACACAGCGTAACTGCCCAGAGTAAGCTTCCCTTGTCTTCTTCTATTATAGATAATGGGATATACTTACTATTTCCATTCGAGGGCCTGCAGAGCAATGGGATTCACAAATTGATTGAACGAGTTCGCCATGGTTCCCACAGACGTGAACAAGGCAAGGCCCTTGGTGCGTAGTCCGAAAGGCAGGATCTCGGCTGTGTATGGAACCGGTAGCGGTGTCCAGGCGATGTCGTAAAAGCCATAGTATCTCGGAAACCAGGTCAGCTTTCCTTGGTCCCTTCGACGGCGTTGGATGCGGGCATGACTCACAGGAAAATGGACGGAACTACGGCAATGCTCATAGCGTGGCTCCCTGTTGTAGCGAAACCAGCGGAGAAGCCCATGATGAGGGCGTAAGAAACGAGCATACCGATAATGGAGACGAGGAAAAGTGGACGACGACCGAAACGTTCAACATTCAACGCGGCGCCGAATGCCAGGATGAGGTTCCAGATCGCTAGGCCAGCCCATATCAGTCTATATGCGCCCGCTAATCCTGTTGTTCAGCCTCGCACTTACCGAGCCCCGATGTGAGAAGCGTTATTTGGACTGGAGACGTTATCCCGATAGAGTGGAGTACAGGGGTCAGATAGCTGCAGTGCAAAAGGTCAACACAGACATGACAAGTGCCAGCAGACAGACTTACTAGGAGACAATGCCATTGCCGACCCAGTTGGTACCTACACAAAGAGACAAGAGTACAACAAGACGCCGTCGATTCCCCGCTGTCATGAAGAAGTCTCGATAGGACGCATGGTGCCCAACTCGTTCTTTCTCCAGTACCATTTGGATCTCAGCCAATTCCCATTGGACGAGAGGGTCGTCGAGAACACCATTGGCGTGATACTTGCTCAATATCGCCGAGGCTTCCGCGATTCGGTCCTTGGACACGAGCCACTGAAGTCCAGGTGGATTAGCCAAGAAACTGTCACACAATGTGGGAGTCGTGACTCACTCTTGGAGATTCCGGGCAGCTTATCAATGTAACCAGGACAAATAAAGGTCCTACGACTTGGACAATCGAAGGTGTCCGCCATGACCAGTCGCCTGGGATATAGAGAGCCGCGACTGTGGGAAGAGCTCTAATTCAGCACAGGGTCGTTGATGAGGCAGGGCTAAAACGAGGTCACCCACAACAAAGCAACGCTGATAGCAGAGCGCCAAAGTAGAAGAAAGGATAGTAGCAGGAAGCCAACATCGGTCGTAATCGAGGGTGGGCGATCTCCTGAATGAGCGCTGGAGCGGCCACCTTGGCGAGACCACCACCTCCGCCAATGATGGCGCGACCTGAACGAGTTTCGAGTTTCAGAACATAATCCCAAAGGCACCAAAGGGGGGGACGGATAATTACCAGCAACCCACATCCCGGCACTATTAGCAAAGGCGTTAATGAAACCACCGGCAAGGACAATGAAAGATCCCAGAGCCAGGGTGATTCTGCGCCCGAAGCGCTGAGATAGGAAATCACCAAGGTAAGCCGTCACAATTGATGGGAGGTACAAAGATGCAGCATAAAGTCCCAAGATTGTGCCTTTCGGGTGGTCAAAAAACTCGTTCCAGGAGGTAACAGCCTGTAACCCGTTGAGGAGGCCAGCATCATCTAGCATCATTTGAGTAAGCGGGTGACGCACAACACTATTCGACAATCTACTCACAGCCCTATGTACATGTCTTAGCTTGTGTATATATCAGAGACAGAGAATCGATACCCACCAGGTAGTAAATTACAACACACAGCCCAAGACTTAGGAAGCAGTGTCAGCGAGCATGCCAGAGTTGAGTTGTTGTCACCAGCTGTACTGGACTTACCAGTGTGCAATGTTCGCCTTGAGAGCAGGGTCCTTGTACCAGTGTTCATTGGTATTGTCTAGTAGAGGGTATCAGTGAGTAGCGCATGGAGCAGCTTGCTGGCGAAGGTCCTTACTGGGTATGTTTTGAAGCATGTGTGTTTGCTGCATCATAACAGGGCCGCGAGGGACGGTTACATCAGCCTGGGCAGTTGCGAGATTGAGATGTCTGATGGGAGATCTTAAAGTAGACTAGGATTAAGGAGGGCGAGAAGGGGACGAAATCCGGGGTAAATTGCCGGGACTTTAAAAAATTCTGGGGAAAAATGGGGAGCCATGTAGATGGATTAATTGAAAAGAAAATTTGGCTGGAGTAGATCACGACTTACCAGTTTCTTGGGACCGGGGAAGATCCGAGAGAATGTCAGCCAACTATACGCCAGACAGAATCCCCACCCCGGGGAGTCTCCGGCCGGGGTAAAAATGAAAACTAATGCATGGTCACTGGGCTTGGCGCGCAGTGGCCAGGTAGTTAAATTCGTGGTATTAATGGAGCAGCGCCTCATTACAACAGTCGAATACATATCGATAAGCGCCTCATTCTGAATGCTCGTCTGCTATAGTGCGAGGCTTTCCTGACTACCAATCGCATCTTGTTCCAAAGCGGGGGAGATATCGCAATGGCGAACAAGGGAATGGATAGGTCATTCATGACCGCTTCTGCTGAAGATCTGGTCCAAAGTATGTCCCTGACGGAGAAGGTGTCGCTTCTTTCCGGCGAAGATTGGTGGAGGTAAGGGGGATTACGTCCCATCATTCAAGAGTATACGGTGCTGATTCAACTGACAAACATCGCAGGACCACGGCCGTGCCCAGACTCAACATCCCTTCGTAAGTTTCTTTCACGACGGACGTGTCCGGAGCGGCTTTACTGACAAGTGTCCCTCCAGCATTAAGCTCACCGATGGACCCAACGGCGCCCGAGGGCAATCTTTCTTCAAAATGAGTAAGTGGCGAAACGCTGGGAAGATTGCTGAAACTAATCTTACTGTGAGCCCCCGCCGTCGTTCTTCCTAATGCTACCGGCTTGGCCGCTACATTCTCTCCCACCCTCCCCGCCGAAGCCGCTCGCCTACTGGCCGCCGAGACCAAAGCACGAGGCGCTGTCTGCCTATTGGCCCCGACCATTAATATCTGCCGAAGTCCTCTTGGAGGGAGGACCTTTGAGTCATTTGGGGAAGATCCGACCCTCAGCGGTATCATGGCTGCCAAGTATGTCAATGCCCTCCAGGAGGAAGGGATCAGCGCAGCGATCAAGCACTTCGTCGCCAATGACCAGGAGCATGAACGAATGGGTCAAGACTCCATCATTGCTCCCAGAGCGCTTCGCGAGATTTATCTTCGGCCATTTCACATTGCTCAAGCTTTGGCCAAGCCTTGGTCATACATGACCTCGTACAACAAGCTCAACGGCACCCATTGCTCCGAGCATGACTGGCTGTTGAGAGGACTTCTCCGAACCGAATGGGGGTTTGACGGACTCGTCATGTCCGACTGGATGGGAACATATTCTGTCGCCGAGGCGATCAACGCTGGGCTTGATTTGGAGATGCCTGGGAAGCCCCGATGGCGTCAACTGCCGCTAGTCCGGCAGTTGGTTAATGCTCACAAAATCTCGCCGGCGACAATCGACGAGCGGGTGATAGCCATCTTGAAATGGGTCCAAAAGCTTGTCGTGCTCAACCCTGACACTGTTTACGGGCGCGATGACTCGGTAGAATGGACGCGAACGGAAGACCAGGCGACAGACGCGGCGCTGATACGGCGTATCGGCAACGAGGCTACCGTAATGCTGAAGAACGAATCGTCAGTGCTCCCTATCCGACGTGGCAAAGTAGCAGTCATTGGTCCCAACGCCAAGAATGCTGTCATTACAGGCGGCGGCAGTGCGAGGCTTCGACCAGCCTGGTGTGTCACACCATGGCAGGGATTAGTTGACAACAGACCTGACGAAGTGGATTTACGATACACCCTGGGCTGCAAGGGCTCCAAATTCCTGCCCGTCTTTGGTGAGGAGTTTACCAGCATGGATGGTACCACCCGCGGTTTTGATATGCTTCACTACGCTCTTGTCGACGGCAAGCAGGCCAGCCAGCCAGCCGTCTCTGAGGTCTGGACCAACTCAGACATCATGCTCGCTGACTTTAGCCACCCAGACCTGGGCGATGATTACTTCACCGAGATCCGAGCCTTGTTCACCGCACCGATCACCGGTGATTGGCAATTCGAGATCAGCGTCACTGGTCAAGCTTGGGTTTATATCGACGACAGACTATTGGCCGATTTATCGAAAGAGCAGAAGCGGACCTCATCATTCTTTGGAAACGGCGGCAATGGTACTGTTATTACGTTTTCGGTTACTAAAGGCAAGGTCTGTAATGAATCGTTCCCCGTCTATCGTACGAGTCACTCACGTTCAATCAGGTCTACAAATTCCGTCTCTTGCACGACTCCAGAAAACCGCCACTAGCTCCAGGTCAGGACAGCCAGCCATTGCAGCTCATTGGCATGAAACTTGGCTCCTTCCCCGCTATCAATGAGGACCAAACGATAGATGAGGCCGTAGAGCTCGCCAAAGAGTCTGACATCGCCTTGTTGGTGGTTGGGTTAGACCAGGATTGGGAGTCGGAGAGCTATGATCGACCAGACTTATCTCTCCCTCTCCGTATGAACGACCTCATCCGTCGCGTCGCGACCGAAGCACCAGACACCAAAAAGGTCGTCATCTTGCAGACAGGTTCCGCCGTATCCATGCCATGGCTGGAACATGTCGACGCCGTCTTGTGGCCCTGGTACGGCGGGAACGAGGCTGGAAATGCCATCGCTGATATCGTATACGGAACGGTCAACCCTTCCGGACGATTGCCCATCACCTTGCCGAAACGGGAGCTCGACATTGCGGCAAACCTCAACTTTAAGTCGGCACGAACCAAGACCTACTACGAGGAAGGGATCTGGGTCGGCTACCGTCACTTCAACGCCCGGGGCATCGAACCCATGTATCCGTTCGGTCACGGCCTATCATATACTACCTTTGATTATTCTGACCTCACCGTTGCGCCGTCCGCATCATCTTCCCCTGACTCATGGCGCATCTCTGTTTCTGCCAGAGTCACCAATACTGGCACAGTACCTGGTGCTCATTCCGTCCACTTCTACACTAGCCCGCCCCCACCAACAATGACTTCCCTCACGCATCCGGATGTCACTCTGCAAGCGTTCGCAAAGACCGCTGTACTTCTACCCGGTCAGTCCGAGACAGTCACCGTGGAGATGGACAAATGTAAGTATACTGAGACCTGACGGCTTTGTTACTCGCTAACCATTAGAGCAGTCGCTATCTCCCACTGGGATGAACTGACATCGACATGGCAAGCCGAGCCCGGGCAATGGCACGTCAAGATAGGAAGGGATGCACAAACCATGTGCATTGAAGCTCCGTTCAACGTCTCTCCAGGCTTTAAGTGGCACGGGTTATAGTTTCGGCGTATCATGTTCTGCAAAGGCGATATATAAAATAAATGAGATATCTTGTGGCGCAAGCAGAGGGTACTGCAAGACGAATGACATCTCATCGCCTGGTGATACTGGTCAGCGACGATTGTACTAGGTCAACCAGGCGGCAAATTTAATATCTACGACATCAGGGCTATTACGTGGGAAACAGTGGAATCGAGTTGCATTGTTCGGACTGTGTGGTTGGATGTAGGTTCTTTTGTAAACACATCACAGAATAACGATAGATATAAGTCCAGGTGGCATGTAGCAAATGCTACTTCATAGCTCTGTGAGTAGAGCCTTGTCTCTTTCTACTTTAGTAAATAACCTCTCGTCAACATAAATAAAAGCTGTATCTAGTCTAAAGTAAGGATTTGTGAACAGACTCTATCTTAGTAGTGAATTAGTGGATTGTAAATAACAGTATACAGAGCTTACCTTACACACTTTCCATAAGAATAGCAGCTATGAGAAGAAAATCTGACATTAAAGTTTGAAAACAAAAGTTAAGAGATCTGAAATTAGATTCAAGACAACATAGAGTCTATAGAGTGGGAAGCAAAGCAACTAGGGGCAACATGAATAACTAGCTACACGGAAAATGCCCCAATCATAGTCACTATCAGATTCCATCTCTGGATCTTGTATCCTTGAACCTTCACAACGGATTTGGTATTTGAGGGGGTTAGAGAGTAGGATAGATTGCTTGGTGCCCTCGACCTTTCTCGACAGTGAACAGTGAGGACGCATACTAGGACTGTTCCGGATTATCAGTGTGATTAAGGTGTAGACTCCTTTGCCTATTGTATGGTCAAGATCAGTCCATACTAGATGGGGCATTCATTTCAGCCGCTGCCTAGTTAGCCAATGCTCAGAGAGTCATGGTAGGTATGAATATTACCTAGTGGTTGTTGTCGAGACAGGGGAAAATAAAGCTAGACCCGTCGGATGCAACTCCGGAAATGATGGCGTCTGTATGACCTGCTGCTTTGCAGATAGCCTGGACCATGGCTTTTCTTAATTAATATCTTAGTCGATATTCCGCTTGCCACAATAACTCCCACATATAGGCTAAACACCGAAACTGTCCCAAGGATGACTGATATACGCTTGGATCCCGCCACAACGACAAGGTTTGATCGTAGCTCTTCAAAATTATACCACGACGCGTAGTCAACGTTGCCGGTAGCGATGAAGAGTATGGCAGATTGCTTCATCACCACACTTATGGTCGTGTCAAGGGTAAGCTTCAGTTGGTTCGGAGCCTTTATGTCCTGACGCTCGGCCATGAGGCAGCAGAACATGGGAGCGTCCAGCCTCATGCGACGTGCGGTCCAGTTTCCAAAAACTGCACCGAGAGCTTCCTCAATCCATCTCATTGGCTGAACTGTGTATCCTTTGTTAGAAGTACACCGGTGAGTTGGAGAATGACTCTTACGAAGCCTGGAAGGGAGGTCGTAACGCTCTTTAACGATGGAACAAAGTCCCCTATAGCTGGCCAGGAAGTGAGTCCAAAGGTCTCCCAAACGGTTTTACAATCCATTTCATTTATCGGCCGCGTATCGTACATGCGTTTGTCGCAAATCTCGGCCAGAAACTTCTCATCCAGTTCTTTCGCAGCAGACCTGGCCATAGTGTGTCTTACTGCGAGATTTACCGATAATTGTTGGACCGTAGCAGGGACTTGAATTCATCTAAACTAATAGGTCAAACACCAACTTCTATAGTCTTCTTTTAAGCCTATATTTGGGGGCTGCACCCCAAATATTCGGTCTATAAGTAAGATATTACGACTACCGCGGCGGATTCCCAGCTTTCATCTGAAGCGGATGCCATTGATATCGTCCTGCTGAAGCATTAAGAATTTGATCGTCTAATGTTATTCATGATGTCATCCTGGAACAGGAGGGCGAATAGGCAGAATGGTCTCAGACGAAACGTGGTCGTTTCTGAGCCGGCGACCAGCAGGCCGGTGACAAGTCCGGCGACAAGATATTGTGCGTGTAGCCAACTGCCGTGTAGGAGCCGTATCATCAAGACTAAGACAAGCTTTTTGGATACTCTGGCAGCCGCTCTGCAGCGCATATTCAGCAAGAGACTTGCCCTTTAGACGTATATTAAGGTCCGCATGGTGATCCACCAACAGCCGGAACTCGGTCGCTTTCTCAAGTCGGATAGCATCAAATAATGCTAGCCCGCACTGCCTGACATCCGCTCCTGCCCTTAATAGGGCCTTTATAAGCTGCAAGCTTTCGTCGCGGAGCATAGCTAGGCCAAGTGGTAAATTTGGCGGTAGTTTCCAGCCTGGACTGGACCTCTTAGCCGGTAGGGCAATGTTTGGATCTGCACCGTGGCCGAGCAGAAGCTTGACAACTCTTAATGCTTGAGGCGCCGGCGCCGATAATAGAGCGCCACATAGTGGTGTGCACCGCTCTCCTCTTGGCTGAAAATTAATATCAGCCCCTTTGGATAGACACAAACGAATCTGTTTTTCGTTCCCTTCTTTTGCCGCGTAAAGAAGCATCCACTGTATCTCAGCCATAATAGTATGATCCAGTCTGATAGGGGAATGTTTGTATTTTCCTAGCTCCTGAAGCAGATAGTCGGCGATGTCATAGTGGCCTTGAGAAGCAGCATTTGCTGCTGGACGGTGAAAAAGACGGTCGTATGAAAGTGGGTTCGCGCCAAGTGAGATAAGCATCTGAACTAAGGTGAAGTTGCCCTGGCGAGCGGCCAAGGCTAGAGGGCTTCGTCCATAAACATCTTTGAAATTGATGTCGGCGCCATTTTCAATGAGTTTCCGCACGAAGTCTGCTTGTCCGCTGGTTACTGCATGGCAGATCGGGTGGTCGCGTTTCGTATCGGCCATTGATGAGACCCGGTGTAGCTTGTGACTCATTTGAGCTCGATACCGTGATTTCCAGGAAAGGTCCACTCCTATATCGAGAAATCGCTGCAGTGTGCTGGTAGAGCCTCTTTTCGCTGCCCAGATCAATGCGGCGAACCCACGGCTTCGCAGATTCCATCGATAGAGGCAGCCGATAAGCTGATTGTAGAGAGACGAATGAGTCCGTAGGAGCGCGTTCAAGTCTCGACAGTCGAGTTGAGCCGCGATGAGCATAAGCAGCTCATGTGGGAGTAAGAGAATCGGCATGGTGGAGGACAAACGTGGAGGTTCAAACCGGGGGGAGAGTACGGACGGGGTACGTGACAGAAGGGGAAGCCGAGACTTATAAAGGTACGTAGTACTTGCTGCGGCCCCCACCATCCCATACGGTCAAAGTCTGCCCAGACGGCGGGTGCAGCGGCTCGGACTGCCAAAAGGTCGGCTGTTACGGCACCCGCTGCATTGGGGGGACGGGCCTCTGTCTGAGCCCCGGATGTATTTCTTTGGGCTGCATCGGTCCCCTCTGCGATAAGGTGACAGGCGAGTGTTCGGGCCCGGTGAATCGGACTGCGAGACCAGCGAGGCTGATATATGCACCGAGTACATCTCATCCAGCCTTGAGCCTGTCGCTTCTACCTACACTACGACTACCTCGACTGCTTGCCAGACCATCACTGCTTGCGATGCCGAACCCTCGACCACGACCACGACCATCTCCGACCATGTCGCTGTTGCGACGCCGCACAAGTATTATCACTGGACCCTTGACCCGGTGGTAGCCAGCAGCGTGGCCAGCTCCATCGAGAAGGACTTTTCTTCTCTGCACGCGACCACCACAACTACCACCACCACGTCGAGGACCACCACCAAACCCACCTCGACCACGGCTTCAACCACAACGGACGCGTTTAGCCCCGCGGAAACCGAGCTTTCCTGTCAGGACAACTCATGGATGTGCGGTCACTTCACGGGTGGTAATTTCCGGGCGTTCTGCGATGTCGCGAAGAGCTACCTGCGCGGGAACGAGATCTACGGGTTCGTACATCACTGACTCCGATCCTAACAGGCAAAAACTGACAAGAGTATGGATAGGACTACATCGCAGGACTCAGACACTGGAGCTTGCTACACTGATGGCAGACATCTCGGCGGTGGCTGTGGTGTCTTTGTCGAGGGTGACGGTTGTCGGCTCCGTGGAACCACGATGCAAGCGTGTGTACCCCATAGCTCGCTGCGTTTGCGTATCACATTTCTAACTTTGACAGGGCATACGACCACCTCGAAAACCCAGACCAGGGAGGCTGTGGCGCTTGCGGCCATGTCTTTTTCGACAATGGATGCAAGATGACGGTGAACTATGTCAGCACTTGCGGCACAGTAGGGAACTGATGTTAACTTGCTTGTGCGCATGGAAATGGATAAGTCGAGACTTAATAGAATAGAATAGTGATCCTCTCAGGGATAGAATCAGCATAGTGAGACCTGGGAAGTAAGGTAGAGCAGCCAAGGGCCAAAGGATGTAGCCATCTGGACACTACCTAGCCCGCTAGTCGCGTGACCATCGGGTGACCCTCACCCCTCACTTTATGTCAATTATTTTGGACTCCTTGCCTGAACCATTTTCATACCTTTTATATCAATCATGCCAGATAAGCAGAACATCGCAGCATGGCTTTCTCGTGTTGGGGCAAAGCTAGAGCTTGGCCCAGCCCCAATTCCTGAGCATGGCAACGACGAGTTACTCATTCAGGTAGGGGATGATACGCATATGTAAATCTGAACACAGTCTTCATGTTTAACATATTATAGACCAAAGCTGTGGCCATTCAACCAGCGGAATACAAAATCCAGGATGGTGTCCTTCCGTTTCCCTTGTCATACCCTACAATTATAGGATGTTCGTGAATCAAGGACTCCTTGTCTGACCTAATACATCTTCAACAGTTCAACCAGCTGATCATGTAGCAGTGTGCTTTTCTGGAACAGTTGTCCAAATGGACCCTGGTGTGACGCGTTTCCACGTCGGGGACCGAGTTGTCACCAATAGCGCAGGAACTCTGCGCAATGATGCTCGATTCGGGGCCCTGCAGCGCTTCGCTTTGACTACGCAGCAACTTACGGCGAAGGTTTTGCTCTCCTTCTTACCCAGATCCCCTGTGTGATTGGCAATTGGTGATTTAATCATTTCTGGACCAGATTGGTGAGGCATCTTTCGAACAAGCCGCTGCTCTCGCCTCCAACTTGTATGGTGCGATGAGTGCGCTTGTCTTGCACTTGCACCTGGACAAACCTTCCACCACGCCTGACCTATCCAATAAGGCCAAGAAAGTTCTAATCTGGGGTGCATCCTCTTCCTTTGGTGCAAATGCCGTCCAAATTGCAGCAAGTGCAGGGTACACGGTTGTAGGTGTTGCATCTGCTTCGAACGCCGGTTTGGTCAATTCTCTAGGGGCTACTGAGTTTGTGGACAGAAGGCACGCTTCGGCGGCTGAGGATCTAATTGCAATTGGTCCCTTCCATGCCGTCCTCGCCGCTGCGGACTCGGCGAAGGACCAGGAGGTGATCGGAACGGTCTTGGCTGCTCAAGGCGGGGGCACGTTTTTATCCACAATGGGCGTGAGAGAAGGCGTAAAGCTGCCTGACGGGGTCAAGGGCGTCTTTGCCCAGTTTCTGGACGACTACCTCGATCTAAAAAATGCTGACTTCACTAGCTGGGAATGGTGGGAGGATCTGGAGGAGGCCGTCGCAAAGAACCAAATACAGGCACTCCCGACCAGGGTTATGGGTGGGTTGAGCAATACGCAGGATGCTTGGGATCTCCTCAGACAGGGGAAGACTAGCGGCGAGAGATTGATCATTCACCCAAATTCCGACTAGGCACAGTTTATCTTATGAAGACTATTGAATTATACCCCTATGTAAAGTGATTCCTGCCGTCGATAACACGCTACTTATAGGCCATGAGTCTGGCCGCGTTACCTTTCTTGGGCTAGGAGCGGGAGAAAGGGAACAGTAGTCATTAAATGTGCGAGTGTAGTACTGCAAGGATAATGCTCTAGTGAATTTCATCCGAAAGGATACAGTGAATGACCCCGCGTTGGGGTCGCGCAACTCTGTAGGGACACCTCTTCGATGCTTCACAATGAATCGCTGATTTGTCTCAAAGTATATGTCTTGAATCGCTCTGCCACCGAGGCATCTGCCATCGGGTCGCTCTGGTCCCATGCAACATCACCAAAGTACGTCTTGGTTGGGATAGTGAAAAGGGAGAGGGCCAGAAAGTCCAATTCTTCAAAGAAAAGAGAAAAGAAATGGGGCCGTCAGGAATGGGATTGCAAATCACAAAGGCTAAATGAGCTGAAGGACTCACCTGGCCCAAAGCTCACCTTAAAAGCAGTCAGCCTGGTTGACTGTGTATGTCAGATACGCCACGGGTTCTTGGCTACAGCTCATAGCGATATGCCAACATCCGTACCACGATGACAGTCCATAAAGCTCTGGGAGTAGTCAGGTCTTGCACTACTTCTTGTCCTTGAGAAATACTCCGTGGAACCAGAAGGGTAATTAGTACAGATGATGAGGCCTACATATATGTGTTGCTTTCCTTCTTTTCCCCGTATTCATTGGTGCCAGAAAAAGGTACCTACCGACTCTCGATAAGATGCACCCTCTTTGTCTTTTATAGTGACTGTAAATGTAAATGCGGATGAAGCAAGGACAAAACTCTTTCGTAACATATCTGGATCGTCGACAGTGATATGTTGGTGTTCGAGATATAAAGCTCTCTTAAAGACCATTGAAGTATAAACAGTACAACGTGCAATCTTCCAGTCAGGTAGTACTGTATTCTCAAGCAGGTAGGGTTTTTTGTATATTTGTCTGCAAAAGTAAATGGCTCTGGATGTGCATTGTAAAACATAATAGTCGTCTCGACCATGCATAGATAGGGCTGTGCAGTTGTGAGGCTTACGACAACACATGCTTCTTGCTATCGATGGTACAGTCTGACCTGGTGTTGGCCAGAGTTATTACAATATCCCGAACATGCGATACAGGGTACTTCACCTATGCCACAAAGGGCTGTACCAACTATGAGACCTCTTCAAGTAGTACCTCGCCAGTCTCCTGGGGTAACGAGAAGCTTTCTAAGAGGAAATTGGACAAGGAAATCAGCTAATTCTCCATTTCTGCTGAAGCATATACTGACGTTCAAAATATCCATTTAGTGGCAATTCCCGTTGGAACTACAACCCTTGATGACACGCGGCGCTTGAGATGTATCCGATCGGCAAAAGCACGAGGATTTGATGGGAATGTCTGCTATAGCGAGCGCCAGCTTTACTGCAGGCTCGATGACAGCCGCTTCCTCCGTTCTTCCCAACCGCGTCAAGCACTCATGATACCCCTGGAGCGACCAAACATTGTTCGGGTGGCGGCGGGGACGAATCAGCGTGTTATCGAGTCCAAGGTCAGCGCGGTACACATTGGCCGCTTCCTCGAGATGGCCCTGTTCCAGGAGAAGGGCCGCGTAGGCATGTCGACTGGGTTGCATCCACGACCATGGTTCACTATACGGGAGCTTGTCATCCAGTTCGATGGATTTGCGCAGATGCTCAAAGGCCTTGTCGTAGTTTTGACGGCGATACTCGATTTCTCCATCCAGCATGGCCGCGGCCACGGCCAAGGTCTGCGTACACTTGCCATTATAGACACGGCGGGTCTCTGGGACAAGTGCACATGTCTGCTGAAAGAGCTCCCGCTGCTCTAAGGCTCCATCTACATCCCCAGTAGCCGCATAGGCGACTCCCTTGGCGTAATGTGTAGTTGCCGTCGTGACTCTGTATAGTTCGGAGTCTTTTGGTAATTCCATTTGTTTCAGCGCCTCCCACATCCCAAAGCGCACCATGACATGTAAGCGAATGGACATGAAGTTCTCTAACCAATCAGCCATGGGCGGGGACTCGATTCGTAGCACATCTTCAGGGACTGAAGCCTCCATCCGATCGACCGCATCCAGGGCCGTATTCAGTTTTCCAGAAAGCATAGCGGCGTAGATGAGGGAATGATAGTCGTGGAGTCGATAGAACGTGTAGAAGTTGTATGGGCCTGCGCGGCGCACATACTTGTCATCGGCTAGAGTAGCCTTGTAATTGGACGCAATCGAGCGCCGCCAATCCCCGATCAGAATGTCGAGATGAGTTGGCATGTGGTGGATGTGGCCTGCATCAGGCATCAAGTCACGCAGATGGTCGGCGACATTGACACCT